CCTTCCTCTCTGTAAAAAGTCAATAAAATATATTTAAAAAAAAAAAAAGAGCAAGGCTTTCAAGTAAAACAGACCAGAAATTGAATCATGCTCTGCTGTTTGCAGGCTGTGCACCGTCAATCTAAGTTTACTAAAGTACCATAAACTTCCGTTTCCTCATCGGTTAATCAGGATAATATTTTATTCCTTATGGCAGTATTAGAATTCATTCATTAAGATGTATACCAAGAGCTTTTAGTCCAGTGCCTGGCACATGTTGAGTACTCAAAATAAGCAGGAGTCCATCGGTCAGGTAGCCCTGGAACTCTTTTCTAAACTTTTCCTAAACCCATCCCTTCCACCCCTATTTCTTCCCCTGCTTGGTCTCTCCCCTCTCTTGGATACCACACACACTCCAACTCCAATAAGGCTCTACCCCTCATAGGATGTAAGACTTTCCATGATCTGGCCCTTGCCATGCCTCCAACTGCACCTCCATGCCTGCCTGCTTCTCCCACAGTGCCCCCCTCACCCCCAGTCCTTGTCCATGTCGTCTCCTCCTCCCACTCCTGTCTCTATCAATTCCACTGAGCTAGCGCATAGGAAGACTCAGCCCAGAGATCCTATATAAGAGCCTCTACTTGGAAGACCTCTCTAGGGAAGTGTGCACAGCCAAGCAAATAAGGGGAAAGTCGACACAGGCAAGTGGCTCATCTGTGTCCTTCAGGCTGGTCTACAAGCCAACACTGAGTGGGAGCCAATGCATGGAGGTACTGGGGCCTAGCTGATTCAGGTCTTTGTTTTGAGGAAGCTGACTATATTATGTGGTCCCCACCTCAAAGCATGCCACCTCTTTCCTGTTTTCTCAAGGCTGCAACTTCCCTAAGAGGAAGGGAACTTTCATGTCTCTTGGTCTTCCTCTTTCTTCATTCACTACCCACCCACCACCACTCCCCTCTGCACACACACTTCTAGAATAGAATAGCACATTGTAGAGGAAAGAGTTCAGAACTTGATATTGGATAACCTACTGAGTTTCTGTTTCCTCTTCTATAAAATGGTATTAATACCTTCCTTACCTCATGAGGCTATAAGAATAGAATGAGATGGTCAGCATGCAAGTGCCTCTAACCATTAAACAGTATTTAAATGGATAACTGGGGATGGTCTCCTAGGTTCCATACCAACTCACCTTTTTCCCTAGTTCACTGAATATCTGCAAAGCTTCTTTCAGAAGCTTTCATTCCCCAAAAGAGCCAAGTGACCTGTCCCCATCCCCACTCTGCCAATCTAGAACTCCATCTAACACTTAAAATTCATCTTTGCAAAGCTTTCTATCATTAGCCATGCCCCATGTTGATTACTCTAAAATATTTTTTAAATAATTATTTAAAATATCATCGGAAGAGCACTATGACAAATTTTGGGGAAATATAAAGGTAAATAAGATAGTTCCATTCCAGATTAAATTTACAACTCAATAGAAAAGACACACAAATGAGCATATGTTACAAAGGCATGAGCCACAGGGCCAGGAAAAGTACTGATTGTGCAATGGGCCTTTGGTTTTCAAACTGCCATTCAGTGGTCTGGTCTTTAAAATCCTATCCTAGAGTATTGATCCCCATAGGATTGCTTTTTCCATTCCATTCTGACATTCTTGTCAAGGTTTCATCTGCTCCCTAAGCCTAAGATGGAATTGTTAACCCATTACACTGGACCTTACATACACAAGAATTATCCTAGAGATGAAGAAACTACGTTTTAGAGAGGGACAGCAGCTGGCTCAAGATCATAAGTCTAATTCAGTAGTTCTCAGCAGGGGACAATTTGGACATGTCTGGAGACATTTTTGGTTGTCACAACTGGGAAGTGCTACTGGCATCTAGTGGGTAGAAGCCAGGGATGCCACCAAACATCCAACATTGCACAAGACAGATCCCATAATAGAGAATCATCCAAACTAGAATGTAAATAGTGCTGAGATTGAGATACTTGGTCCAATTGGAGAATCAGATTTCCTAACAAGTGCAGACTTACTTATTATACCTTACTAGTATATATGTAAAAGGGATGGTAAATATCCAGGACTTAGAAATATGTTTGTTAGATTTTGCTTGTAATGGTACTGGTTTTTCTACCAGCAAAAGGGGTACTGATAGTTCACCACTGAAACAATTTTGAATTATTTTTCTTATAAAGATGACCCTATGCATGTAGTCATCTATACATTTTCTTCCTCCACTCCTCCCCAAGGGTAAGCATTTCTAGAACAACTGGCTAGAGTAGGAGGCTCAGGGGTGATTTCCTAGGGTTGAAGAGAACGCCCAAAACTTTTCCCAGAGTGAGCTCACCTCAATCTCAGTGGCATCACTTTTTGCCCTGCTCAACTCAAATTACTCAAACAGCAAACTGTGTCATAGACAGTTCCTGGGTTGTCCTTGAACTGAAAGGATGGCTTCAACCATCTCAACTTCTTGTCATAGCTTCACCTCAATTTTGGTGGTAATACCTAGGAGCTGCATTGTCAGTTCCTCAATCTGCTCACTGGCACTAAGGATTGGTCATGATTCCATCTGGGACTGGGATCATTTAGGGGCAGAGTGAATGCCTTCCAACTCAGAAGCTGAATCGGTTTGGGTCACTTATCTGCAAGGCATTATACTGTATCCTATGGGAGGTGTAACAGCCTTGGCTGATGTGGCTCAGTTGATTGGGGCATCATCCCATATACCATCAGGGCACATATTTGGGTTGTGGGTTCAGTCCCTGGTCAGACTGCATGCAAGAGGCAACAATCTCTCCTCTCTCTCTCTCTCTCTCTCTCTCTCTCTCTCTCTTTCTCTCTCTCTCCCTCTCTCTTTCCCTTCCTTCTTCCCTTCCTCTCTCTAAAATAATTTTTTTTAAAAGAAGTGTAACAGATGGTCCTTGTCTTCTGGGAATTGACAGCCTAAATTGAAGGAAAATAATAAATTCATGTGAAGAAATAACCAATGGTTCAAAGCACAAAATGATACATTTTAAAGACAGTAATGTAGGAATTTAGAGGTAAGAATTTATTTACTTTTTAAATATATTTTTATTGCTTTCAGAGAGGAAGGGAGAGGGAGATAGAAACATCAATGATGAGAAAGAATCTTTGATCGGCTGCCTCCTGCACGCCCCTTACTGGGGATCAAGCCCGAAACCCGATCATATGCCCTTAACTGGAATTGAACCCGGGACCCTCCAGTCCGCAGGCCAACACTCTATCCACTGAGCCAAACCAGCTAGGACGAGAATTTAGAGGTGAGAAAGATCCCTCTAAATTGGGAGAATTGGGAGCAATTTTGGGCAGTAAGGGTCATCCTGAAACCTTGGGATGGGTCTCAAGGAACTGTTAAGAGTTAAGTGGTGATAAAGAGAATTATGAAAAGTATAGTTAGAGAGAGAGAGAAAGAGAGAGAGAGAGAGAGGAGAGAGAGAGAGGAGAAAAAGAGAGAGAAGAGGGAGAGAGAGAACCAGCCTGGCGAGGGTTGAGGCACTCAGTGGAAGAAAAGTCAGAGATAAAGTTGGGAAGACAGGTTTGCCAAATGCGGCAGACCTTGACTATCAGGCTAAGGAATTTACAATTTATTCTGTAGGTAAATGAGGAGCTGACAATGGCCTCTCATAAGGGAGGTCTCAAGCCCAGGTCAGGTTCCCCTCTCTTACATCCTGGCTTGACTAAACACACTGGTCTGGGAGCCAAAGATTCCAACCTTCTGTCAGTACTGCCTCCTCTAGACCCACAGCTGTTTCAGGAAAGGTCATGAGAATTCCAAGACCCAAAGCAAGTTTCACATCTGACCCCAACTTGCTGTTTGTTTCACTTTCCTGCCTACACAAATGAGCCCATTACCTTTATTTACTCTGGGAGCAACAAAACCAGGATAACAGAACTCTGATCTGCTCCTGCTTGGAGGGAAACTCTCACGGGCTTTCCATCGGTATCCAGAGGCTGTGTGGAACTCCGGGAGAGAGGCAGGCTGGGCTCTGAAGGGCGGGCACCTTTCCAGACCCAGCCCTGCCCTCTCCCAGTCCCCCACCCCCTCTCAGCGCAGGCCAGAGGAAGCAGCAGCTGTTGTCCTATGGGGAAGACAGGCAGAGGTCCACCTGGCACTGCTGGGGTTTGCACAATACTTGCCCCAATGACTTTAAACACACACACACACACACACACACACACACACACACACACACACCAGTAGCCTGGAGAACTTGGGCCAAGAGCAGTGATTATGGTGATCAAATGAGAAGGAGGCTGGGGTAACTAGCTACCTCATAACCCTGGATAAAGTCTGCTTGTGTGAGGGGCTTTCTTCCCTCCCGTCTTCTCTCCCACCATTTTGTCTTCCACTCTCCCTTTTCTAAATTTTCTCTCCTCCCTTCTACCAGACTCCCTGACCAGCCTTGAGCCTGATGCCTGACTTCTTTTGTTCTCCCTAACCTTGTCTCCCCCTTCCTCCATCTTTTCCTCTTGCCCCATACATGTAGTGAAGGAAAAAGAGCAAAATTATCTTACCAAGTGCAAAGTGAAGCAGCTCTTGGGAGCTGGATAGTTAAGGCAAATAAAATCACCTGCCTTATCCAAATAATTGAGGCAAAGTAAGGGGTTTTAGCTTGAATCGTGCAGATGGTACGTTCAACTCCCCAGATTTTGTATGCAAGCCTAAACCTAGACGCTCTTTTCCCTTTGACCTCAGACAGTAGGGCTATGTTTATTTTACCTTCACATAGCACCAAGGCAGCCTTTTGGAGAACCCAGCATAATGGAGTTGAGCAAACTAGGATCATTCTAATGACAGGAAAACACAAGCGCAGATGGCAGTGCAAGTCGTGGTTGGGAAACATCTCACTCTAGAATGATGCGAAGTGAGAAGGAGTCTGGGCTAGGAATTTCAATGAGCTCTTGGATTCCCACCCGCTCCTGTAACTCCAGCCTCCAGCCCAGGGCTGGCCTGGCCTGTGCTGATCTGCTTTCTATCCACAATCTGCTTTAAACCATGGATATTATCTCCACACATTTGCATTTCTACAGCAGCAGAGGCATAATTCTTATCCAGAAGTTCAAACTGCAGAGATTCAGGCACCTTAACAAAGCAGTGAATACCCAGAGCCAAGGCCTCGCTGAAGGTGAGCCAGAGGAGCCAGAGCCTGCGTGAACTTGCTCCTGGCTCTCGGTTGCCATCTGGTGGTGTTTCCCATCTCTAGCACCACATTTTCTTCCGAAGTTCCTTCGTGGGGACCCACAACAGAGCTATTTACTAAAATGACGTCCCCCTCGCCTCAAAACAAACACCCAAATCTTCCTGACTCCAATCCTAACTTCTGGACCAGAACTCAAACCTTATGATCAAGATGGTTTACGTAGTCTCTCTATGGTTGCAATCCACACAACAGCCAGGGGATCTTTAAACAGATAGGCCTTTTACTCCTCTGCTGAGAACCCTCCAGGGCTCCTCAGTGTGCACAGAGCAGAACCTCAGTCCTCTGAGGTTTGCCATGGTCCGGCCTCTGGTCCCTGCTCAGCCACACTGGCCCCTGGCTGTCCTCCAGCACCCAGGCATGTCTGTCTGTGTTGGGGCCTTTACAGTGCGGTTCTCCCTACTTGGAGCCTTTTCCCGAGGCAAGCACAGACTCACTCCCCTTCAAGTCTTTGTCCCAGAATCACCTACTGCAATGACCTTATTTAAAAATCGCTGCCTATCAACTTCCATCCTGTTCTACTTTTTTCCTTCGCAACTATCACTTTGAGCAAAGGCTATATATTTCTACTGTCTTTCCCTCAATGAAATGTAAGCTCCACAAAGATAGGGATTTTTGTCTCTTTTTTGTTCACTGATATATTCCAAGCACTTTGGCACATAGCAAGGGCTCAATAAAAATTTCTTGACTACATGAATGAGCATGAACTCAGTATTCTGAGATCACCTACTACTTACAGGTGAATCCTGAGAACAAAAATACTGTTCATCTCAGTTTTCCAGGCCTTCCCGACCATAGAGTGATGCTTCCCTGCCTCCGTGTCCCAGTTCTTCTGAGTGCCACATGCCAAGCTCACTGGAGCCCCCAGAGCGGCACTGATCCAAGTTTTCTACACAGATGTCACTACCACACGGCAAAGGAAGGCCCAAGGCACCACCGCCAACAGCACTTTCAAATTTGGACAATGTTTAAGTTTTACAAAGTTTAATAAAGTAGGGAGAGGAAGAGTGAAGGGTAAGAGGTGTTGGGTGCCTTCTTCAGGTAGATCCAGGTGGCCTTGCTCAGCACCTGGAGGCGAGAGAGCCAGAGGAATAAGTCACCGTGGAATAGCTGGGTTGGGATGGTGCTGGCCACGGTGACTGTGATCATTTGTCCACTTCTCTGTCTTCTCTATCTCCTCTGAAAAATAAGCAGCAAATCCTGATGACAGGCTATTCTATCTGTAGCTCAGGTCAGAGAAAAAGCAATTCTTATCACCACAGTGGTTGGTTGTTCCCAGAATCCTGAACCAGAGGTGTATATAAGTGAGGAGATAAATGACAGCTCTCCCTGAAATTCATTTTGGGTTGACACCTGGGTCAAGTGCTTTATTAGAGTCAATAAAACCACGTGGCCAGAGGCCACGTCTAGTCTTTGAGTGTGAAGATTCAAGATTCCTCACTGCCCAACAAGTTTAGGCAGGTACACTAGCTCCATAGCTATCGGCTTATTTGGGATATGTAAGCGGAGAGGCGCGCACCTGATTCATTTCCTGATACATGACTGCTCCCCAGCCCGCCCCCAGACTGACGCAATGTAGCCCAGGCCCGCTTTTAAGGAGCCAGGCCTGAGCAGAGGCCCTCGGAGAGCTGAGGCCCAGCCGTGAGACGTGCATCCTCGGTCCACTGAGCAGGAGTGGCCCAGCAGCAGCAGCGCAAGGAGCCACTGAAGAGGTGAGGAGATGGAATAGAGGACAGATGGGCTCTGACAAGATGAGAGTACATCGAGTGAGCAATAAGATGGACAAAGGAGGATTCAATGTAGAGGGGTTGGGGGGACAAAATGAAAAAGTGATGCTGGGGGTGGAGGCACAAAATGAGGATACAGAGGAGATGGGGATGGGGTCATGGAGAGTCAGGCACAGAGAAAGGGGTAGGTACAAACAGGACGGGACTTGAGAGAGAAGATAGAACAAAGTGGGAAGCAAGAGGGGCATAATGAAGGAAGATAGGGGTACAAGGTGAGGGAGATGGGGGCATAAGGTTAGGGGCTGGGGTCACGATAGGTGTGGCACAAGATGGGGAGGAAGGGATGAGAACCAGGGTGAGAAAGGAAAGGAAAATGGTGATTAGCTAGAAGCAGCAGGGATAAGGAGGCTCATGTCTCAACTAAACCCTGCCTGCTCTCTGTCCCCAGGGACCTCGCCCTCCATTCTGACTATTCCCCCCAAGAGACATGGCCCCAGCCAGAGCAAGATTCTGCCCCCTGGTGCTGCTCCTGCTGCTGGGCCTGTGGGTGGCCGAGGTCCCGGTCAGCGCCAAGCCCAAAAACATGACCTCAGCTCAGTGGTTTGAAATTCAGCACGTGCAGCCCAGCCCCAAGGCATGCAAAGGGGCGATGAGCAACATCAACAAACACACAAATCACTGCAAAGGCTTCAACACCTTCCTGCACGAATCCTTCTCCAGTGTGGCCGCCACCTGCCAGAACCCCACCATAACCTGCAAGAAGAGCTCTGGGTCACGGAAGAACTGCCACCAGAGCAAGGGGCCTGTGTCCCTGACCACGTGTGCGCTCACCTCGGGGAAGTACCCAAACTGCGATTACAAAGAGAACACACAGCAAGCTTCTTACATCATAGCCTGTGACCCTCCCCAGAAAGGGGACGCGGAAAAAGTCCACCTGGTTCCTGTGCACTTGGACCAAATCATTTAGCTTTCCAGCCTTTCTCACTCTGGGTTTCCTTTCCTCTCCAGGCCTCTGTGCTGCTCCTTCTATGCCCAGAAGGTTCTCTTCCTTTCGTTTCTTGGGGCCTCTCCCAGCTCAGGCTTTTCTGAGGGGCAGCTTGGTGGGCTAAACTCCAGAAGAGACGATCTTTTATCTTTTTGTTGCTGTTTTCCCAGAAACTTATCCCAAGAGAGGAGCTGAGCACGCTGAGGGGTGGGGGTTCCCTGGCCTGTGCCTGTGCATTTCTCTGCCCTGTCTATCATGGCAGCACAGTGGTTCTCAACCTTCTGGCCCTTTAAATACAGTTCCTCATGTTGTGACCCAACCATAAAATTATTTTCGTTGCTACTTCATAACTGTAATGTTGCTACTGTTATGAATCGTAATGTAAATATCTGATATGCAGGATGGTCTTAGGTGACCCCTGTGAAAGGGTCGCTCGACCGCCAAAGGGGTCGCAACCCACAGGTTGAGAACCGCTGTGGCAGCATGACAAGAGGAGGAAATGGACACAAGAGGGGGGTGGGATTTATGGACAGAACTGTTCTGGTTCCTAAGACAAATGTCATAGTATTTCATGTTTTTCATGGAGCAGCCACACGAGTCCCTTGTGACAAAGACTTGATGATTTGCTTTCTTTAGGGATGAGGAAATTGAGGTTTCAGAAAGCTTGGTTAATTAAAGAGCTTGTGAAATTGGTTAGTAGCAGCACCTGGACTTGAACCTAAGCCTCCTCCTCTCCGTACAGTGCACTTTCTACTTTACCATTGGGCACAAAAAGGAGACATCGGCAGCGACAAGAGAACTAGGTAAGAGTTCACCCATGAAGAAATGTACCCTGAGAGCTCTGGAGAGCCAATTGCTGTGTTGACCGCAATAAAGGTCATTACCTCTCTAGCCAAGAGACTGTTTAGGAGGTACTCCAGGATCTCAATTCATTCTTTCTGCCTCTCTAATTGTCCTCCCCCTTCTCCAGCCCATTGCTTTTCCCACCTGGTCCCTGGGCTGTTTCTAGCTAGACCCCCTCCTCCTGAAGGTGTAAGGTGAGGGAGTACCCCAGCTTCACCCCCCTGCTCTAGGTCACATTTCCCTTGACCTCAAGGGACTTCCGTGGCCCAGAGCCTACTTGTCACAAACAGGCTGGTGGGAGCTGCCAGAGCTTCCTTCCTCCTGATAATCATCTCTCCTGCCTCGGTGCTTCCCTGGCTCTCCACTCTGGCAGTCAGCCCAGGCTGTTGAGGTTGAGATATGGAAATGCCACCTCCCTGTCCCCCTGGGCTGCAGACATCATTTCTCCCTCCCGGTGAGCAGAGCTGGAGAAGCTATGGCTTTGTGTTGCCTGGTCCTGATAGTCTCTCCCACATTGCCTGCAGCCCCTTCTCTCTCCTTTTATCTCAATGTCAGACCAATGGCACCATGCCTTTACCTGCCCGCCCTGCTTCAGCATCCAGCTGATTGTTAGATCTTCCCTCCCCAGCTGGGGAGTCTACCCTCTACCTAATCCTCCTAACAAGTATAGTGCTCCTTTACCTCTTACCAGAGTTAGAGGAAGCTTTGGAGCCAGATGGAACTGGGTGTAAATCTGGGGTCAGCCGCTCATGGCTACAGACCTCGAGCCAACTCGACCCTTTCTGCAGCTGTGTTTCCACATAGCAAAATGGGAGTAATATCACCTACCGAATAGGTTGCAGTGAGATTTAAAAATGACACAGGAGTCAGCTAGAAGATGAGTCTGCAGGCAGAGTCCTGCTAGGTGGGCTGGGTGGTTTGAGACCATGAGGAGAGAAGGTAGGGAAGGGATGATCAACAGAAAGGAGAAAAAAAAAAACATTGAACAACTCAAGCAGAGTGTGGGGCCAATAAGTTAAGTCTTGAAAGTAGAGATGCACTAAATATACCACAGAGGGTTGAATGAAATATACATTGTGGTCAAATGGCTAAGTGTAAAATCTATACATCCTATAGAGACTATACTATACATTTATCATTTTAAGTAGATTTTCAACTGAGGTACAAGATATTTGGGGGTAGCTGATTTTCTCTTCACTTTCTTCTTTTTTCACAACTCTTCATATATTCTTTACTGATGATTTTCCATATGGATATTATGGTTTTGAAGACATCGTCATCACAAAATTTTTAACTTGTTAAAATTATGCCTTTAAGGCTCAAATGAGAAGAATTTCCAAATAGGACTTTTTTCTTGAAAGACTCCTGACCCAAACAGTATTAAATAACTAAAAATTAAACATAATTAAAAAGTAATCTGTGGTGACAGAGGTAAAAATCACCTTGGGGAGTACTGACTGAGAAAGAGTAAAAGGTAAGCTGGACTTGGTTCTTCCTTGGTCTGGATATGTTTACTTTGTGAAAACTCATTGAGCTGTACTTGTAATGTGTACTCACTGTATGTAAATTATACCTCAATAAAAAAAAATCCTCCAAAAAATTGCAGTGCTTATGGATTGTTTTATTTAACATGATAAATGCTAATACAGCAATTAAGTCTACAAAGGTTATATAATGAAATTATAGATAGAATTATCATATAATCTATTTTTATTGTTCTACCTTATACTATTTGCTAAATGAAATAGTACTTATACTACATATTAAGTTGTTATAAATACTTTTGGCTCAAAAGGCACATAAGGTTCTTCCTAAAGAACCTTACACACTCTCTCCTATTATTTATATTGTCAACTAATTTTCCTAATTTTTTAACTATGTGAAAATTCATAATTGTTTTGTGTATAAGCCTTCATAACCATTAACTTATTACAGCATTTTTCTTAAAATAATATATATTTATGCTTCCACTGAGTGATAGAATTTCAACATTTTGAAAAGTTCATAAGGAAAATTTCACTCCAAGTTTCATCTAGAATGCTCACCTCTATTTGAAAGTGACTGTTCAGATATTAATAATAAATTGAAATGACCTGCCTTGTTCTCATTTCTGATGCTTTAACTGATTAGGTTTGACAGTCACCCATTTCTTCACATGATCTTGATCACAACCAAATTTAGGGATGCCAGGAATAATGCTGAAATAGGCATACAGCCTGGCTGGTGTGGCTCAGTGGTTGAGCGTTGACCCAGGAACCAAGAGATCTCGGTTCAATTCCCAGTCATGGCACATGCCTGGGTTGTGGGCTCCATCCCTAGAAGGGGGCATGCTGGAGGCAGCCAATCACTGATGTTTCTATCTTTCTATCCCTCTCCCTTCCTCTCTCTAAAAATCAATTTTTTAAAATTTTTTTAAAGAAATGGGCATTTGGCTATTCAGCCTCCCAAAGGTCAAGGCTGAAGTCCAAAATGAATAACAGGTTTAAGCCAGACACCAAGGCTGGCTGAACCTGATGCATTACTACCTTAAAACTGAAAAATAGGAAGAGAAGACTGGTTAGTCATGAGACATTTCTTTAAAAATATTTTTTTATTGATTTCAGAGAGGAAAGGAGAGGGAGAGAGAGATAGAGATAGAAACATCAATGAGGAGAATCATTGATCGGCTGCCTCCTGCCCCCCACTGGGGATTAAGCTCACAACCCAGGCACGTGGTTCATAGGTCTATCTGTGCTCAACCACTGAGCCATGCCAGTTGGGCAGTTATGAGATATTTTTGTTGCTGGAGGTGGGTGCTTGGAAAGGGAAAGAGAATATTTAGGGAAGTATTGACCTACCTTGTATAGAAAGCTGTAAAGGATTCTTTCGACCTGGCCCTAAGGAGCAGAAATAAAATCCAGTAAAGAAATTAACCTAAGAACTGGAGCTATAATGAGTTAGCTTTCCTAGGTGTGAGACTGAAGTAGAATAGGCAGGAGACTTTTCTACTTGACACTGGTTCCCCCAAAGTCTCCACACTCTGAAGTAAATGAACCATACTCACTGTGAAGACAGCCAATTGAGTCAACAGTGTGGCTCGGTTGAAGCATCGTCCCATGCACCGAAGGGCAAAGGGTCGAGTCCCAGTCAGGGCACATATCCAGGTTGTGTATGGGAGGAAACTAATGTTTCTCTCTCCTCTCTCTCTCTCTCTCTCTCTCTCTCTCTCTCTCTCTCCTCTCTTTCTCTCTCTCTCTCTCGCTCCTCTCTCTCTCTCTCTCTCCCTAAAATCAATTTTTTAATTAAAAAAAAAAGAAGAAGAAGGGTCCTGCTCTCAAAGACAGGATGTAGGAAGAGGAAATGCCCCTGAGATCAGGACCCTTCTCACATTGATTCCGTTTGCCCTCTTCATGGTGTCTATGGCTCCAGAGGATAACCCTAGACCTACAGCAGCAGAAAACACCACCAGCAGCAACATCCAGGAAGCCTTCTCTTTGAGAGAGCCTGGACCCATTTCATCACATTTCTCCTATGCTCCCACACAACCAGGCCTCCAAAAGAGCTTCAAAGACTTCAGATCGTCACTCTTTTAAAGTCCTTCTCCTACCCCCTTTTCATCATTGGAGAGGTCAAAAGAGCTTTACAGCTCTTACCAGGATGTTTACCTGTGCAGGACTCCAAAGCCAGTAAGCTTTGGAGACTTCATGAAGCCACAGGGACACGAGAAAATATTGCTAATGAAGCTCTGTAGAAAGTCCTACCCATAATGGAAATACACACTATGATGCAAAGTCCTCTTGACTTAGGGAGATGGGAATTTCCTCATCTATATCAAGGTAACCTACTTCATAAAGCACTTAGTACAGTGGCTGGCATGTAGGGAAAGTTTGAGAGGTGTTATCATTTATATTTATTACTGTAGTGTCAAATGTCGACTGGCAGCACCTATGATGGAGGAAGCAGGCCTGACTTCCATGACAGAAGAACAAAAAATTTAAACAAAGAAGATCAAACTCTTCCTCATTTCTCTTGCCAAAAAAAGGTCCTAGCCAAGAATAGATAAAATAAGGCTCAAGGTCAGACAAAAACATTTCAAATTATAAAAACAGAAAAAAGCTATTTCAATTTTTCCACACATCTGCATTCAGCCTAGGCAGGAGTACATGGGCCTTGATGAGGTTTGTCTTCATTTTGTCTATGTGGGTGTGTCTCTGACCAGTATTTCTCTTCAAGAACCGAGGAAAGAGAATAAGATAATCATGGGGCAAGGGCAGTAGGAAGGCCCTTCAGATGCTAAAAGAAAGAGAGAGAGAGAATAGACATAGAGCACTTGGAACAGTGACTGAAACATAGAGCCCTACTATAGCTTAGCATGGTTGTTTTTATCATGGTTGTCTTTGTCATCCCTGGGAGGTCCGAATGCTGCACGCAGGCTTGTAGTGAGTTAAAGGCGACAAAACCCATGTGCGCAGAGCCA